ACACACCTGGAGTATACACAGTATACACACCCGCATTATAGAATATCCCGCATATTATCATATTTTTTGGATATTCATTGGTATGATATTAACCGGGACCCACTGTCTATCATCCATAATCTGCGCAAGTTTGATGCACTAACTCCGTTCCGTTCCGTAGTTATGTATCAGGCAAGTATATACCGTTACTCGTGCCGTCGTTACGTGGAATTACAAGGAAACGTAACACGGGAATAATCAATCGTGAGTTCCGGGTTTGCCTACAATATTGGTTGGGGGTCCCGATTTTTGAGGAGGGGGTGAAATGCGGCGCTTGCCACTCAGCTGCTGACCCCTTCGGTGACCACCAAGTCGGTTGCGGGGGGAACGGTGATGGAATCCTTAGGCACAACTCTGTATGTGATTCCATTTTTCATGCCGCCCGCTCCGCTGCTTTGGCTCCGCGAAAGGAGGTCCCTTCTCTCATCCCCGGATCACAGAGCCGCCCTGCCGACATCCTTCTTCCTAATTGGGAACGGGGTCAACCAGCTGCTATGGATGTGACCGTCATTTCCCCCCTTCAACCCCTCACCCTTCAAGGGGCCGCTTCCTCTGCTGGCCATGCCCTCGCTGTTGCGGAGCATCGAAAGATGTCAGCCCATGCCCCTGCTTGCCGCGCTGTTGGGGTCTCTTTTATCCCCCTTGCTTTTGAGGCCCTGGGCAGCATGAGTGAGGCCACAACCACCTCGTTGTCCAGAATTGGTCGCCTCCTAGGCCAGCGTTTAGGGGTCTCTCCCGCGGACTCAATTCGTCACCTCCTCCAGCGCTGCTCTGTTTCTCTCTGGCGTGGGAATGCCGCTCTTTGGCTCCATCGATTCCCCATTGGCCCCCCTTCTATTGACAGCATCATTTAATCTGTTTGTTGTTTCGTTTGTTTTGTTTTGTAGCCAGCAGACGGGTGCGTATCCTCAAGCTGGCTACCCTCCCCAGCAGACGGGTGCGTATCCTCATCAAGCTGGCTACCAGCCGGCCTACCCTGGCCAGGGACCAGTGTTTACTACTGATGCCCCTCCTCCATATTATCCTGGACAACAACCAATGCAGGCTACCACCAATAACACAGTGGTAGTGACCTCTCAACCAGTGCCTCAGGTACACACAGTGTACCGCACTGGCAGCTCGGAGTACGCCCTCCCTGCCATCATCTTTGCCGTGGCCATCACTGTGTGCTTCCTGTCCCTCGGCTGCTGGTACGCCATCATCTGCAGTGGCATCGGCATCGCTCTGGCTGCCGCTGCCTCGTCCAGTGCCTCGGCTGGAGATATGGAGACAGCCAAGCAGTACAACACTGGGTCCATGGTGTGCTCCGTGGTCTCCCTCCTGAGTGCTGTGCTCCCATTTGTTGCCCTAATCATTTGGATCATTTCCATCGCCTTGTACCATTCCTCCTGACTCTCGCTGTTTCCTCCTAGTTGACTTCTCCAATGCTTTTAACTCTGTTGATCGGAAGTGTATGTTTGCTGAGGCTCGGTCTCGTATCCCCTCCATGTCAGCCTGGCTTGAATGTTGCTATGGCATCCAGCCGCTTCTACATTTCGGCGACGACATTATTCGCAGCTGCTGTGGGGTCCAGCAAGGTGACCCACTGGGCCCGCTGGGTTTTTCCCTCGCCCTACAGCCCATTCTTGAGCAGATCAATCGAGATGTTCCAAGTCTCCTCATGAACGTCTGGTATCTAGATGAAGGGACTCTCTGTGGCCCTCTGAGTGATCTCCGTGCGGCGCATGACATCCTTGAGGCTGAGGGGCCTTCCCGTGGTCTGCTGCTTAACCGGAGCAAATCCCTTCTCATCATCCCCCCTGATGCTTCACCCCCTCTTCGTCTCTTCCCCAGGGTGTTCCTGTCTCCGATGGCGGTTTTGTGCTTCTGGGTTGCCCTATAGGCTCTGCCTCCTGCACCTCCACAGTCATGAAGAGGATTGCCAAAATTCAGGACACCCTCGTGAATTTGAGGGACCTCCAAGATGCCCAAATGAAAACCGCTCTCTTACGGTCCTGCTTCTCCCTCCCCAAAATTTCCTTCACTCTCCGCACCTGTGCCCCTAACCTGATTCATCCTGCACTTGCAGCCTTTGACAACATCATGCGGGACTCCTTGGAAGACCTCTGTGGGGGCCCCATCTCTGACTGGAGCTGGTTGAAAGCGTCGCTGCCTGTCTCTTTGGGAGGCCTTAATCTACGTCAGGCCCCCCTCCACGCTCCTGCAGCTTTCATTGGATCCCTCACTCTCTCCAACCCCCTCGTTGCCCAAATTCTCCGCCACCCTCCTCCTGTCCCCGCTAGTCTCCCTTCCTGCCTGGCCACTCTTGCTGGGGCAGCTGGGCATCCGGAGTGGGCCTCTCTACAGGACATCGATGTCCCCCTCCGGCAGCGCTCCCTCTCATACGAAATTGACCAGGAATCTTTCGACCTTCTTCTCTCCTCCGCCCCTGACACCCGTTCTCTGGCCCTTGCCCAATCGTGTTCTCTCCCCCATGCTGGTGATTGGCTGAACGCTGTTCCTTCGCCTTCCCTCGGCCTTCACTTCATGGATCGTGAGTTCCGGGTTTGCCTACAATATTGGTTGGGGGTCCCGATTTTTGAGGAGGGGGTGAAATGCGGCGTTTGCCACTCAACTGCTGACCCCTTCGGTGACCACCAGGTCGGTTGCGGGGGGAACGGTGATGGAATCCTTAGGCACAACTCTGTATGTGATTCCATTTTTCATGCCGCCCGCTCCGCTGCTTTGGCTCCGCGAAAGGAGGTCCCTTCTCTCATCCCCGGATCACAGAGCCGCCCTGCCGACATCCTTCTTCCTAATTGGGAACGGGGTCAACCAGTTGCTATGGATGTGACCGTCATTTCCCCCCTTCAACCCCTCACCCTTCAAGAGGCCGCTTCCTCTGCTGGCCATGCCCTCGCTGTTGCGGAGCATCGAAAGATGTCAGCCCATGCCCCCGCTTGCCGCGCTGTTGGGGTCTCTTTTATCCCCCTTGCTTTTGAGGCCCTGGGCGGCATGAGTGAGGCCACAACCACCTCGTTGTCCAGAATTGGTCGCCTCCTAGGCCAGCGTTTAGGGGTCTCTCCCGCGGACTCAATTCGTCACCTCCTCCAGCGCTGCTCTGTTTCTCTCTGGCGTGGGAATGCCGCTCTTTGGCTCCATCGATTCCCCATTGGCCCCCCTTCTATTGACAGCATCATTTTTGTTTCGTTTGTTTTGTTTTGTTTTTATTTGTTTTATTTAAAAAAAACCAAAAAAAAAAAACAAAAAAAAACCTTTTACGGAGTCACGTAAACGGGAATTCCCCTTTACTACGTTTACATAGCGGCGTATATGCGGCCAGATGCACGCGCGCCCGTAATGTTGTAACACGGAGTTATTACGAGAATACGGAGGTTGAAATTTGACACCGGAAGTTCAACTTTAGACGCGCAGCGGAATGGCACTTGCGCTTGTGCTCATAACTTCGCAACGAAACTTCGCAACGGAACGGGCTACGCCCCTGAAACAAACGGCAAACTATAGAAGATTTATAGGACTTTCGATCTAGCATACAAACATATTTTGCGATTTTTGCGTCATAAGGGTCGTTTTCTCAGAGCCTTTCACATATTATGTTAAGAGCGACACATGCAATTCCAAATACATGGGAAAACCCGTGCGAAATATTGAACTGCTCACTTTGCTCACCAATATTAATAATTGTTTTCATTTTAGTTAAAGCGAGTCTAGGCACATTGATCCTGGTGATTTTGAATTTATACGTCCCCATTCAGCTAGAGTACAGCCGGGCATCATTTACCTGCTTGGCCTAGCACATTGCTACCATTGCTAATTGGTTGTTTGGGCTATGTCATTCTCCTTCCCTGAGTAACTTCTTTCCTCCATTTCGGGCTAAATTGGCAAGAAGTGGTTACTAGCATCAAAGTTCCCAGGAAAATTCCTATGTGGGACTGGGTTTGGTATGGCTGTCTTACAACCTCAGCTAACCACGCAATGCACTATATGTAGTCTATCAAGCTAAACCCTCTCTCCCTGACCATGCTTTTCTGTGACAGTCTGCATGCACAATAATCGTTCAAAGGTCATACTACTGCACATATTAGTTGTAGTAATAACTTATTATTATTAAAAAAGGGCATGCTACACCATTAATTAACCCTCGGCACGCATACACAGCGAGGGTTAAAGTACTTGGTCTGTGTGTGTGTCTGTTTGTCGCCAGATATTCTGGCACTACAGGCTACGAGGCGGCTAATGAGCGACACCAACGGCTTCCGAGCGACGAGAGCCTGAAAACAAAAGGGCGTTTCCCCTGAAACGACAGAGTTCAAGAGATATGCCGTGAAAAAAAGTGAAAAAGCGAATATGCATAATCCCGCTAGTGTACTGTTTGGTCCCACATCAGATGGGGTACAATACAGCCACCAAAGAAGGCACTGGGCTACATGATCTACTACCGAGGACCAACATATGGTAGCATGGATATAGAGGATCCTGATGTCAATGACTGTGCAATCACTGGACTCATCAACAAAGGAACATACAGGATTTTCATGGCGGGAAAGTCGAGTCATCTACCCAGTCATGACAGGAGTCTAATCTAGTCCATTTAGGTGAGTCACTTAGTCTTTATGACTTTGTAATGTCTAGGTGTACATATTCTGTCCTATTTTTACAGTGTCAACCTAGGTATATAAGGTTGAATTAAAAAAAGGGGCATAATTATAGGGATGGTATAAAAAGAAAGGGAGACAAGATAGGGATGGGATACATGAAGCATGGTTAAGGAACAGATTTGAGCATGCTGACACCACCAACCCCATCACACAATCCTTATTACGCATTCGTATCAAGTTTCATTTTTATGAGTGCTACCGTTAGCAAGTTTGAGGAGAGAAGAGTGCCTGAAGCTATTTGATGTTCTTCCATGTGGTCGTCATGGAAAAATGAAGTTGTCACGAAAATGATGTAACATTCATGCATACCAAGTTTCCTCTCCATGCGTGCTACATTTAGCGAGTTTGAGAAGTGAAGAAATAATGTTTAAGAAAATTGCCTGAGGCTATTTGTTGTTATTCAAACAAAGTGGCTGTCATTGAAATGATGTTACGCGCATGCGTACCAAGTTTCATCTCCATGCGTGGTACTATTAGCGAGTTTGAGGAGTGAAGAAGCAATTATAAAGAAAAGTTCCTGAGGCTTTTTGTTGTTGTGGTCATCATGGTAATGATGTAATACACAGTTGGCACCAAGTTTCACCTCCAATGCGTGCTACAGTTAGCAAGCTTGGAGAGAGAAGACGTAATTTCAAAGAAAGGTGCCTGAGGCTATTTGTTGATGTGGTCACCATGGAAACGATGTAATACACGTGGGCACCAAGTTTCACCTCCATGTGTGCTACAGTTAGCAAGTTTGAGGAGTGCAAAAAAGAAGTGTCTGTGGCTATTTGTTGTCGTGGAAAGGATGTATTAAGCATGTGTATCAAATTTCACCTCATGCATGTGTGCTACAGTTAGCAAGTTTGAGGAGTGAAGAAGTAATTTTAAAGAAAATTGCCTGAGGCAAACAATATGCGGTCATCATGGAAATTATATAATAGGCGTACATACCAAGTTTCATCTCTATACATGTTAGCAGTGAAGAAGTAAATTTAGAGAAAAGTGCCTGAGGCTATTTGTTGTTATTTACAAACATGTATTGTTGTGATTTTGGCTATAAACTTTCGTTCACATAGCTCTTACCACTTGTGAGTTACATTGACACATGTAGTATGCCCATTATAATGTATTTCCTGGGGCAATTTTCTTGTTGTTTACAGTAAAAAAAAACAGGCCACGTGAGGGTCGCTACACGCTGACCGTAGCAAGGCCAAGGTGCAAGCAGGCAGTTGTGTGCATCGGTGCACACTGCTGCTAGTGGCCAAAAGCTCAGGTTTGGCAAAGCTCCATATTTCGTACGGAGGATCGGACGGCCACGAGCCTTCCCCACCCTCAGCAACGACCTCAATGGTGGTGGCCTAGTGTCCCCGGGGACGCAGCTCTGCTCATAAGAGAAGAAGTGGCAGCGGCAGTTGCCTCGGTGTTGGAGAATCTCTCCATACGAGTGTGCCAATTTCATCAGGTGAGTGCTTGAATAGTGGCTGCAGATCAAGAAGGCGCATAGGACAGCACAAACATTTTGTTTTCCGCTTTTTCCATATATCCACCAGGGTCATCCCTTCCCTTTTCAGGATAACATCCACCTGATCACGATGGCTGCAGCACGGAGAAAGAGACTTCCCATACTTGGTCAACCTAACTATAAACCTTAGCCTGGCTGTTCAAGGTGATGAACAGCATAGGTCCGATCCCGGCTCGTTTGGTTGTGTAAAATGTTACCTGACAATATCACATTGGGTCTGGCTCCCCGTAACATGGGCATCTTATTTTTGGACATATGTCGCAATAGTAGTGGCAGCCCACACGGAAAGGGTCAGGCAAACATCTGCCTGTGCTGCAGGAAACAAGCAAGCTTGGGGATGGCAGGCTCACGTACGATGCCGTGTTCCGTCCTGCATCAAGATTACATCATCAAAGGTATTGCAAACAAGGTCGTCGCCCCTGCAGACATTATCATGAAGAAGACCACCAGTCATTACAGTGTGCAGTGGCGGAAATCCTTCGCAGACATATCCGACTGACACTGACCACGCTGCTCCGTCGGAATGCCCTGCATTGGGTAATGGCGAAATTGCCTGCCTTCTATACCCTCGTCAGCAGCCAGTCTACCACTCGTGTGTCAGCGGCCAGTCTTCTTATGAGTCAGTGGCCATTAGTGAAATGCAGGGTCCTGCGAATACCCTGGGAAGCATTGTGTTGCCCATCTGTGCACTTATTGACCGGTACACAGGAACACATCTCACCCGGCGAACTGGAGCACAACAGGACAGAAGGTGAAGGAACTTCTGGACATGTGGCTAAAACTTAGTGTATCTAGCTTGAGCCTAGCATTATTTGGTAGCTTCGTGGCTGACAACATGTGGTATTACAAAAAAGACGGCAAAACGAGGCAGTGGTAGGATTCAGAACAAACAACCTCCGGGGAACATGTGCATTACCTCACCACCTAAGCTTACAAGCAATGCTCTAGTGTATCGCTATTTGACTTCACCTGAGCCCTCGAGAGATTGTCATTCATGCTAACACCATTGGAATCCTCGGAACTTTCCCTTTCTGATAGTATCCTTCACTAACCATAAGTCAGCTGTATATCATATGTCTCATAAGTATGCCAAAAGTAAAGTAGCTATGTGGTGCCTGTATAAACAGTTTACACAATCACTTATGGGGCTCTGGTGAACCAGAAAAGACTTTAGACCCTTTCTTCCCGAACCTGCTTTTCTACACATAGTTTTGCAGCACAGAAAGGAGAGAGGGTCAAGCAGATGACAATAGTATTGCTTCAACTTCGAAGTGAGATTACTCGCATCAGTGCTACTGGATCTTGGATGGGATACACTTTGTGATAGTGTGCATGCACAATCAACATAAAATAGCTCATACTCTTAAAAAATTATTAGTAATTGAGGAAACATTAAGCTTATGTAGGTATCAAATACTCTTAAGTGAAAATTTTTCTGAAGCAGTCTATAAACCCGAAGCTGTTAACTCAACTGCCCAAGGGCGTGTATAGTAAAAAGCTGAGGGGATGTCTGTTACCACTAAAGGTAAGTAAGATTTGTAGCCCAGCAACCACGTGACGTCATTGGAACTGCTTAGCAACTGCATTCCTTCATTGCTGCAAAGCCGAGATAAAGCGGCAAAGTGACACTTGCAGAAATTGAGACAAAAATGTCAGACTGAGATTGTGAGCAGTCCAGCGGACTAGTACTGCCTGTCTCGGAAACCAGGTCCGTGTGTGACTGCGGGTGCTGTGAAGAAGTAGTAGATAAAGACACACAGGCCTACTCTGTGGTGCGTACAGTGTATTCCCGTCTATACTGGCAAAACCGCCACCAGCAACCGCAAACCGCATTTGGTTGTATGCAAACTTTGGGCTCAACGCTACGGTTTATGGCTTGCTCGCTGTTTTCTGGGCTCGTCCCTCAATCACTTGGCTCTCTTGGGCCCCGGTTAGTCGCCTTCTGGCTCACTCTCGCCCTTGCATTCAGCCACTGTGTGACAGTGTAAACTATGGCTTTTCTCCTTCCTCATGCCGGAGAAAGGTCCCGACAGCAAGTGGGGCATTTGGCTGTGGAAGAGGCATGGGAAGAAGAAATCAGCCGCTGATGTCTGAACGCAGAGGTGAGGTGTAATGACTGTACATACATACTCTATTATCCGCACTGATTTTTCTGTGCCCATATCACGTGTGTAAAAAGGACTGCACCGGCAGTTACACCAGGCAGAGCT